GTTCCAAAGGACTTGTAATGCAAACCGAGTTAAATGAGCCGGTGCGGTCAACTGCTGTGGCCATCTTCCCACGGGAGACGTTTACCTGCGCTTGATGTGGCGGATTATTTTTTTTTTAGCGCCCGCGTAGTTGCTGGTAGTCACATGAGTTACCGAGATACTCGAGAACACACTCAGCTGCTCTTTTCCTAACCCGGTGGGTTTTTGTAGCTGTAAATAAAAATACACGCCTTAACAAACGGGTGACTCTTCCAGTAAGTACACATATGTTTTACTGGTATTTTCTGAAAGGTGTAGTCGATACGCAATTAACGCTTTAGGACCGGAATGATGAGCAATGTATTGTCTTTACGGTTGTGTCTGGGGAGTTCAGAAGATCATTTAACTGTTCTCAGGGAGCATTTGTCGGAGCGCAGGACAAAATAGGTGAGAGAACGAAGGATTCGTATTTTTCTGCTACCTCTGTGAGGCTGAGGTAAAACACAGCTGGAAAGCTGCTTAGCAGGGCTTAAAGAGAGCAGTGGATGTAAAGAATGTCTGCAGCAAAATACCACCTTATGCTAATTTAAATGCAAGAGCGTGGGGGAAATCTGCGTCCCTGAAATGACTGAGTGTAAGAAGGGGACCGGCACATAGAGAAAATGTTGCAAATGTGTGTAAAGTGGATAATCCTGCTCAGAGCAGCAGCTTCGTTATAACGTGGCATGGGGTTGAGGTGAAAGATTCAATAGCTTAAGAATTCCAGTTGGAAGCAACAGAAATTCTGTAATCTCTTGCAAGAAGTTCAGTTAACGAAATCTGAGCGGCACTGGAAAAATTAACTTTCTTTTTCTGTTTTGCCAGTGGCGGCACCTGACTTGCTGGATCCCAAATCGGCCACTCAGAACTCCAAACCAAGATTGTCATTTTCCACCAAGCCTACCGTGCTCTCTTCACGGGAGGAAAGCGATTCGGCTATTAATGTTATGAAATGGAAGACAGTCTCAACAATTTTTCTGGTGGTAGTCGTGTATTTAATAATCGGAGCAACAGTATTTAAAGCCCTGGAGCAGCCTCATGAGACCTCCCAGAGAACCACCATCGTGATTCAGAAGCATGAACTGATTCAGGTAATCCATACCAAAGCCTTGTCACCGTGCCTTAGAGGAACAAATGAGATATGGTAGCACTCTGGTGGTAAAGGGCAAAAAACTTTATTAGCGAAGCTCTGTATCGGCCGAGCGATGTAACAAGTGTTAAGAGCAGAAGTTGAGCAATAGCATTTTCATGCAAAGTCTGATGGTTGAAAAGCTATTGCTATTTTTAGGTCCACTATGCTTGGTAGACAGCCTTTTCACTGAAGCCTGCCATTATGCTAATTAAATGATTATTCATCAGCAATATATATAATTAATAGTTCACAAAGCAATTGATATATCGATTGTGCCTTGCTTGGTCTGTCAATATTTGAAATGCCTAATTCTGAGGAAGAAAATGCACCATCCATTGCCTTAAAGGACTTCTAATTTACCGTGATTGTATCAAGCTAGCTTTCCTTCCAGCTGTATGTTTCTTTTTATTGATTTTGTTTTAAGTAGAGGAAAGTACCATGGACTCGCTATTTTGATCCTAAATCTCGATTTTCTCCGCTTCTTAAAGGCACATCCACACAACTGATGTACGTCGGTGTGTTCCTACTAACATGGCTTTACCCTTGCAGGACACCTGCCTCAGAACCATAGGAAATATTTATTTGCACTAGCACAGAAGTATATCCAGAGCCTTATGAGGCCCTCTCCAACTTAAATCCCATGTTCCCATGATCCCATGAATATCCAGTGGCACTGCAGGGAACAGCAAGGGGCTGCCAAACAATGTCAGTTCTGGGGATGACACCATGGAACAGGGGGCTGGAGTGAACAGCCAAGAGTTGGCAAGGACTGACCCCTTCATTAACCATAGCCACGGGGCCGCCTGGCTCTGCAGAGCCTGAGATGGGATGCCGGAGAGCAGGAGAGGGTGGCGGGCATCCAGACCCTGGCTAGCACGAGCTCTGGCGTGTGCCAGTTGCATGGGCAGCAAAGCTTTCTGGAGGTGGTTTTTGAGAGCGGATCTGGCTGGGAGTTTAGAAGTTGATTTTACCTCTCTAGACCAACGGGCCTTGAGCACCAGCATGGACACCTGTTTTTCTGCCATTTTAAATACAGAGCTCTGACCTATTGGCTTATTTTTATGGCATGCTACTTCTAAATTTTAAAGGCAAACTGGGAAAACGTCTTGTATTTTGTGATTTCTCCCCTGCCTGGTTGCTAAAATGCATTCTAAAACTGCCAGCCTTTAAAGGACTGTGAGGCATTTCCTATCTCCCCGCGTCCCAACCAGGGATGCCTGAGGAGGTGCTGTCGATAAGAATTTCGATGCTGTGTAATAACTATGTTTCAGTGGTTTTACCAGCAGGACGTGTGATAATCTTTCAGAGAAATGTACATGCACATTTTGATTAAAACAAACTCTTGCAGGTAGTATAAATATCCCCACATGAAATTGTTAGGTCAGATTCTGTACTTGTGAAGATAAAAATAGAAATTCTGAAGCAATTTTATCTTACATCACCTATGAGGTGGTCCTTAAGACAAAAATTGTTGAAATTTGCTCTGGACTGATTAGATATTTTAGCATTTATGATTCCCTACCCAGAAGCTCAGATTGGTAATAAAAAAACGCTTCATCAGCGCTCAGTGCCCATTTGACGTTCTGTGTCAAATAAATGACAGTTCCAGTACAATTATCAGAGCACACATACCCATTTTCGGCATTAGCTCCCATCTTCACTAGCAGTCTTGGCATGACCAGAAAGACACAGCCTTGTGAAGGACGGGGCGGGGGGGTGGTGTGACACAGCCTCCCACAGCACGTGGATGAGAGACGGCTGTGGGAAGAGTTTGCTCTGCTTGTTGTTGGGGCAAATGGAAAACTGAATTTCTCCTTGTTCCCTTCTGCTTCTCTGTGAAGAACACTGTGACGTGGAGGTAGGATCGTGCTGTTACGCTCCTTTCATAGGAGGAGAGCTGAGGCAGAGGGAGCCTGGCCCTACAAGGGCATTTGGGTGCCTTTCTTTATGCAGAGTAAGTGATAACAGATTACATCAAGTTGTTTAAGGGTCAGGAATTAAGTGACTTGCCCAAAGTAAAATAGGAAATCAGCGGTAAAGCAGAGTCTCAAATCCATTTTTCCAAGTCTAGGCTGCTACCCAAACCATGGGGTCATGTTTCTTCCCTACTTACCGCTTTGTCGCAGAAGCTGAATTACTGGAATACGTTCCGTATCTCTGGGTTTATGTCTGACTGCCATTACAATATAATGTAGTGTTTCTTCAGTTTTCGCTGGATGTCTGTATAAATAAAAATAAATAGTGTGTGTGAGGAAAAAGTAAATGATATTTAAGAAGTCACTGAAAGCTATAAAACTGAAAATTAATACGTACTAGTGTAGTAGGAAGCTGGAATGATTAGTGTGCGTGTGAAGAAAATTACAGAGCTTATAGACTGTTATGTCTTCTTTAATCAAGTATTTACCTTGAGTCAAACTACAATTAAATTAATTTCAAACTTTTCCTTTTGAACTTAGTGTTCTGGGATGCCAGAAACTGGTTTGGCTCTGGTTCGTGCTAGTCATTGCTCAAGGTGTTTATCATGCCAGGCTTTTTCAATCTTCACAACTTCTGCCCTGCCATTTAATCCTTGACTCTTCCAAGACTGCTAATCCACAGTACAATGTGCAGTGGCTTAGTGGGGTGAGCAAATTAGGGCGACTAGTTTGAGAGCACAAATTCAACTAAAAAAAAAAATTGTACAAGTGGAATGAAAAGTCCAGTTCACTACTGCCCAGGGGCCATCTAGTTTCCATCATCTTCCCTTTGCCACAGAGCTGATTACAACACAGGGTTGTGTGTGTCTATAAATACACACAGGACAGGGAATTATCCCTTCCTCTCTTCTCCATCCTTACTTTATTTCACAAATCACCAAAACCCTTCCTGGCACAACAATATATACTGTTGCCAACTTTACTCCCTGGGTTTCAAATTCCTGAAACTATGTATTTTCACTCTGACTGTGTGGCTCCTCTAGGGGTACTCAGTGGGAATTATACTTGTATAGACTTTATCTATTTCATATACATGTGAAACACGGGGCAATGGAGAGCTGCTATGCAGCATAGCAAACGTAGCCTCAGCTGCCTCAGAAATACGACCTGGGTGTTCCTCGTAACTTTTCAGCCCAGTCCAGCAGCGCTGTTCATGTGTTGACAAAGAGGTGGTCTTCATGACCTTTTCCATCTCTGATTTCCATGGTCAAGTGTTGCAAATCTCTTTCAGTCTAAACCACTTCAGCTACTTGTTGCCTCACTGTAATAAAATATACCTACAGTGAACAGCAGCAATGTGAGCCCCTGAGACCTGCTTCCAGGTACCTCATTTTTTTTTTTTGATATTTCACAAGCACTTCTATTTAGTACCATACTTAAAATGTGCAAAAGTCATGCAGAACATATCTGCACACCAAGTAGGCCATTTTTTTCCAGGCAATTTCAACTCCTTTTGCTGGAGCCTGAAGCCACAGTATTAACAGCAATGTTATGTGGATCACTGCGTGCTGTACACGGCACTGCTGAGGTGGGCAGTGCACAGCAGTCAGGGGTGGTATATCTAAAGCTACAACTACAGAAATATCCCAGGAGGGAAGCTTGGGAACGTACGAGGACTACCTTGGTGAGTCTAATCAGGAGGCAACAGCCCAGCAAGCTGTGCATGGTCTGATGTTAACCTTTGGTTATTTTAACGTTTCAGTTGGAAGGTCTTGAAAGGATCTCAGTTATTAACAGATGAGAAAGCACTGGTTTGGTGAAGGTTATATATAATACCTAATACATTATAAGGCTGTAGAAAGGGATGTGGCCAGACACTTTGCTACTATTCCTTCTTTTGGAAGAAGAACTCTTGACAATTCATCATGGCCCTGCCATACAATACAAAGTAACTGCCAGGTGACAGAATAAAAGAGTAAATGTAGTTCAGACTGTGTGGATTTTAGGTATATGTGACAAAATATATAAACCTGATCTTCAGTTACACTAGGGATTTTTTACACCTCCCATGGAACAGGTTTTTTTCCTCACCACTGAGCTTTTTGTGGGCAGAAGGTGATATAAACCTGGGAGTAATCCACAAATAGCAACAAGCATTAAAGAAGGAAAAAAAACCCCCTCTAATTAGAGAACTTGTGTCTCTAATTATTTCAATCTAGTTCTAGTTCTCTTTTAGCGTGTCGACTGTTCCCTATAGTAAGCTTGCCACTAAACATTTGAAAATATTGGAGACAGTTTCCAAACTCAGATGCACAAAGTGTATTGCCAAGTACCTAGAAAAATCTCCTGCTGTATTTATGCACCTGTGCATAGTAGCAAATGTGGAGACCTTAGGTTACATTGCTGATGTTCAGCTTGTGTGCACGTCCTCCTGCGGTGCTGCACAGCCATCAAATACATGCATACACCTTCATGACATCTCTGGGGGTTCAGAGGTGTCTCTGGGGACAAGTGAGCCTGACTAATGTGATATCCAACAACTTTCCAAAACCATAATGGTTTCATACATATGGTTTCATACACCTCAGTCCTCTATAGGGGGGAAATGAATTTGCTTTCCACCCCCCAGAACTCATGTTGTTCCTAGGAGTAAGGATGTGACCAGTATTGCGCACTGTGGGATGTCTTGGCAATGAGAGACAAGTATTTGTCCCCCTGCCAAAGAGAAAGCTGATTAAAAAAAAGAGAGCTTTTTTATGTAAATATCACCTAATCCTGTCTTGCTCAGCAGTTATTTGTTTTAGTGTTGATCTTTATAAACCCAAATGGAAAAAAATTCCTCTTAATCCTCAAGCATCAAGTTGTTTAATGTATTATTTTTGCACACAAGAATTTATCATTTTTGCATTGGAAATAAGAGAAATTTCATTTACATTACTTTAAAGATCTAGAGTATCCCAGGAAGCTGGTGTGAATTATTTTAGTTACCTTAGTGAGTTAATTCTGAAACTTAATGAAGAGTTTTCAATTAAAGCTACTCTGA